ATTTTACCAGCACTCCTTGACAGCAGAAATAGGTAACAATGTCTCTGGATAAATTCTTTCACAAGGAGCTCTACTGCTAAAAAGGTTTTCGCGATAGACAATATAAGACAATAAATCGCGTATATTTTTTTTTAGACAAACTAACGTTTCTCCCTTGCAGGTCCCGTGTCAGTCCCGAATCAGCCGTGACCATAAGACATGCAACAGGCTCGAAATTTTGGGAACAATTTGAAAAACGTTGGAAAAAAATTTTTTGTAGCTACCTACTGCGATCAACATTTTTACAGTCAGTATTACAAATAAATTAAGTATTCCTATGTTTGTCCAACACTAAAATAGGTTTAATATTAACTTGTGTAGGCTTCGTTCACACCGCATTGTCCTGCACGTTTTTTAATGTATTCTATTATAAACGGATAGACAGCAGGGTGTTCACTCGATATATTTTCATGCGTTTAAAAGACGGATAGCGGCATCACATAGCAATCGCCCCGAGAACACGTCTGTGATGGTTCCACGCTTTATTGCTCTTTTATATTGGCATAGAAGACGCCAACGGCTTTGCCGCCGGATCAAATGGTATTGGGTTCATCCAATGAATCAAAAAGCAGTGCGTACACACATTTGAAAAATGATACGAAAATCTGAGAAATGGTAAACAAAAAAAATGAGCCATTGTTCCACTAAAGATACCAATAAATCGCTGTCCACAGAAGATCGGTCACTTTGTATTAATAAAATTATGCGTGCCCTCCTTCCAAAAGATACTTCAATACTAGACGCCGCTTGTTCGGTGGCTATTACTATTAGGACTACGACTATTAAAAACGTGTGATTTCGCGACGTGTGAAAAAGATGCATTAATACTATGCGCCACTGCACACCGAATACTTAAAGTACATTCGATTTGCTTGACAAGTCGGTTGCGTATTCGCTAAACGTATAGAACTGTGAACGTTTTTTTGCGCCACCGTTTATTCACAAAACGTGCAGTACAATGCCGTGTGAACGTGGAGTTACAGTTATAGTGACGTGTAGGTACAACCTATACGTCACTATAACTCTTGTTACATTTCTTTACCCGTATACAAACTTGTGCAAACAATTCCAACTCACGTTCCACCAATATCTCGAATTGTCGAACCGTATAAAAAAGCCGTCGTCTAATTAAGTTCACACTCCGACTGGCTTGGATTGTTAAGTTCATTGCTCTGATAATCCGCCTACTCAGCAGTTCAGCACATGTGCTCAATTGTCTAGTGTCATAGTATATTTACATCAGTACGTCTTGTTTTTGACAAATGAAAAATGGTTTCGTTTTGTAACGAAAGCATACCCGGACACTCTATACAACTGTAGAAACATATTTACCTATTACTACTACGTACATGCATGCACACGCGGTAATATGTGCGTGAAGTGGTAGGTTTATCCATCACTTTCCAGAACTTGCACACTGACTTTGAAAGAGCAAACGCATGTATTGTATATATATAATAATTGTATGTATATATAAAGGTCATTATATATACTTATGATTTTATTTATTAATACTATAACAACTGTACATTACACCAGTTAAGTTAAATATAGTCAAATAAATAGCTTAAACAAAAGACTTAACATAGTAAGTGAATAACATTACCATTAATTACCTACACTAAAATATTTACTTTTAAATGTCTTATATCTAAGTAATCTGTTATGAAATGGCATTATACTGAAGACGAAAGGTTAATATAAAATGGCTTTTTAATAAAAGAAACTCTCTTTATCCCATTTACATGAATAAACAGCGGTACATGGCACAATTCACGATTATTATACAATAAAGTATTAAACAAGTTAAATTACAATGAACTGCTTAAACATCAAAATCGTCCTTAGCAAATAGCTCGCTGACAGCCTTGTTGCCGTTCCGTCAATGTGACCGTCAATATGAGCGGCGCGGTGGGGTATCTAAAACTAGGGAGAGGCGGAGAATGACCTTTTTATTTACTTTTCTATTCTCTGACAAAAGTAACAAAAAAGATTCCTTTCGTTTTTTATCACATCACAGTTCACTAATTAAGTTACATATGTATTACGTGGGAGAATCAGGTTTCCACTTTGTTTAAAATAAACTCTGGTAATTTGTGTGGTGTGGTGTTTTAGTGACGGTTAGGTTATTTATCTGCCTACCTACTTCTAGCGTCAAGAAACACTACTATTTTCCGAATTAAACGGCCGACAACTATTTTGTGATCAAAGGATGAGCATTTAAAGAGGTTTATAGTGAAGCTATATTTTATATGTAACTGTAGATAGTAAATATAATTTAAAAAAATAAGCTGTACATCACATTATTCTCGAGCCATATTGAAATAACCTTTGTAAAAAGTAGTACTTTGTATTATTGATATTTTTATAATATGAATAGTGTATGATTATTGAAATAGAGATGAAATGCTGAATAATTCTGAATTCGAGGCACTCTTGTTCAAACAACTATAAACACCACAATAAACACGTCTACAATTTGAAGTATTATCATAATTTTAAATTGAATATCGCGTTTGACAACCGCGCTGTGTAACGCGAGTACACCGCGAGATTATGCGAATATGTGCGCACATAAAAGCCACATTGCTGCTTTTGTATGGAGTTAAGTTCCATTTAGATGGAGAGAGTTTATCGCACGCTTCGTGACGAAAAATCGTACGCGACTATCGCAAGCTATAATCGCCATAACATTATCGTATCGCATGTATACATTCGGGCAAGAACTAAAATGTCGTTTACGATTATGTCATATGAGATTCGCAAGCAACTTAATCGCCTCCTCGACTGTTTACACAGAGAAATATGTAGTAAGGAGATTCTTGCTTACGAGTTTTCGACTTGTCTAAACTCGATCTCGTATGACATTTTTTCAAGTTCATACGATAATCATACAAATCGGTTCGAACCGTTTTGAGTGCGAGAATTGCCATTCGAGTTCAGTGATTACTGCGTTATTGACTAGGGATGTACCAAAATGACGCAAAAATCATTCAAATTTGGAACTGCTGGCAATATGAAGTTAGTAAACACTGTAAAGATATATATATTTATTATACTTCTTTTTTAATAAAATTAACATTTTTTTTGACATTTCTTAACCCAAAATTTATTTTCGTTCTCATTTCATTAATTCTTGTCTTATAAAAGCAGTGATAATCAAAACACCCTCGCGAACCGACTGGCTGGCACAAAAACTCGAAATACGATTTTTGCTTTCAAGAACTTTACTTGTTTACACAGAGACGTTCAATATTTAAAGGCGAGGCGATTATCGCTCACGTGGACAATCTATAATCGCTAATGTTTAGACGAGGAAAGTTTTTTATGTTCTTTCGATAATCTATAATCTTCGAGATGAGAAACTCCTCCATCTAAATAGACTTTACAGTACTTATCTTATTATAATATGCTAGTATAAAACAATTTCAGTTAAGTAATAAAAATTATATAACTCGCTTATTACGTCATCGTCTCTACCTATAGATGGATAGTAAACAATTTAAAAAGTTGACTTACTGCCATTGCTATTAATCTGTAATTCTATTGTCCGGGGTCCCTAATGAGCACCTTCTCTATTGTCTCGACGCGTCATATAACTAGTGTCGTCCACTTTACAGCTTGGAATTGTCAGAGGGAAAAATGTACTTTAGTTTTATTTGGTCGACCGACTGTTGTCGCTTTGAAGTTTATTTGGGTGTTTCTCTATTAGACAATGTTTAATCTGAAAGTGCGTGTACATTTTTAGTTTTTACATGTTACAACAAAGGTCTATTATTGATAAAACCCTTTTAGAAAACATACTTGAAACTGTTTTTCTAGCGGTAGGGTTTCTCGTTCTGATTCGATTTCGCTTGGGTAATAGCTGGTTTGGTAACTACGCGCTTCCATTGCATTGGTCGTAACTTACGTGCGAAACGGACGTGGTTTGAGTTATTAAATAATGAAACTGCTATACTATATGACCGTGGTAGCATAATGGTTTTACCTACTGCCTCTCAAGCAGAGACTGTGGGTCCGAATCCGGGAAATTTCATTTGAAATTTACCATGAGCGTTTCGACGAAGGAAGACATCGCGATGAAACCTGCACGTCTAAGAAGGTTCACAACCCTCGGAAAACGTGTGAAGTTCCCGATCTCGCATCGGGACAGCTTGACGGAAAGTGGCCTAAAACCCTCGCCTGAGAGGAGACCTGTGCCCAACAGTGGAACGTATAATTGATGATGGTAATGATGATACTAAACAGCAAAACTTTTTCTTCGATGACAACAAAAGTGTAATGTAAATGGTATAGCGTAAAGGACTGGTGCTTTTATTTTCTTTTTGTGATACCAAGTGATTAATAAGCGACACGCCTGTCCATAATAGTTGCAGTGCCGCTCAGAGCTTTAAATTGCAAAGATCTGATGGGCACCGTCTCTGCGCCTGTCACCTTTTTTTTGTCGCTGGGAAATGCGTTACGCATTCCGCTCGGCTCAGAGGAGCATCGAACGGTTATGTGGCACTCCCGGGCGGTAGTCCCGTATATCCACTAAAACCCAGCGGTTAACTCCACCGCAATAGAGAGACGACCCAGGATCCGCTTGCGCGTATGCGTCCCGGTAGTATTACTGAGACGTCTCGGCGTATGGCCCGCATAGAGCGGGCCCAGTCCTTTGGAGGGTGCCCCGGGCACCCTTAGTCTTGATGGAAGGGGTCCCTCGACCCCAATCTACGCCGCGGGAAGAAGGTGGGCGTACTACGTCTTTCGTCTCCCCTGCCTACGTCTTCGAAGCGGGTCAGAGAAGGGGTCATCCTCTCTGGAGCGCTCCGCAGCCTCCATCTGCGAGATTACGATCTCGCAAAAAGATATAGGAATAGGATTGCGCCCACGATTGTTGGCAGCGAGAGATCTCCTCCCACTATATCAGTCAGGGAGTGCCGCTGAGGGCCCCAAGCCGCACATTCCGTCAGGGTGTGTCACGCCGTATCGACGGGTGCGCCGCATTCGTCGCAGACTGGAGTCGCTTCCCGACCCGCCACGCGATGCAGGTACTCACCAAAGCATCCATGTCCGGTGAGCACCTGCACCAATCTAAACGACAGTGTCCCGTGTCGCCGGTTAACCCAGCGGACTAAGTAGGGGCGGATGGCCTCCACGGTCACTGAGCCAGTGATTGGGGACTCCAAGTCCTCCGCCCATCTTCGGAACAACGCGACGCGGTCCGCTGCCCTGATCCGCCTTGTTTCTTCAGCATCAGGGCTTTCCCCTTTGCTTCGCATGGTTATACGGTACCGGTGCACTTCCGCGAGCACTTCCGCCCGATGTTCCCACGGGGGATCACCCGCGAGAAGTGTGGCGGCCGTCCACGATACCGTGCGGTGCCACCGGATCGCTCTCACCGCTATAACCCTCTGCGGCCTCCGCAGGAAAGGCTTGAGTTGAGCGGTGAGAGCATCTACCCAGATGGGTGAACCGTAAAGGGCCATACTCCGGATTATTCCGGAGTACAGGCGCCTGCAGATTGAGCCCAGTCCGACGACGTTTAGCAGGAGCGTCCGAATGCGGCTGCGGTACTCATCAGCTTTGGGGCAAGTTGGGAGAAATGCGCCTTGAACGTCCACCTCCCATCCAGTACAAGGCCCAGGAATTTCATCTGAGCCTTGACTGGGACCGTCTCCCTGAACAGGGTGATCTTGGCCCCTCTAGGGGGACCTCTGCGCGGGCCGTGAAATAAGAAGACCTCCTTTTTGTGTATGGAGACCCTCAGTACTAGCAGGTGGATCCTCTCCACCACCAATGACGTCACGACGGACAACCGCGCGGCCTCTTCATATGTCCTACCCCGGACAGTGATAAGGGTGTCATCTGCATAGCAGATCAACCTCGTCTCGGGAAGGAGGGGGCCGCGTAGGAGCCAGTCACAACCAACGTACCACAACATAGGGTCAACAGACCCCTGTGGAACGCCGCACCCGACACGTCGATGGTGGTGCCGCTTGTCTTTTCCTTCCCAGACAACCACCCTGTCCTGAAGATACGCCTCAACAGCTTCCGGAGATAGAGAAGCACTCTATGGTACCGGAGCGCCTCTGTCAGTGTTTCGAAGGGGAGACTGTTGAACGCATTTCTGACATCCAAGGAGACAGCCAATACCACCTCCCCGCTCTCCACCGCTGCTGTTGTGAGGCTCTTCAGGGCATCCAGGGCGTTGATTGTAGATCTCCCCGCCCTGAATCCGTACTGAGACTCCGACAGACCCGGTCCCACTTCCTCTAGGTGTCGGACGAGACGGTTTACGAGGACTCTCTCGAAGAGCTTAGCCGTCTCGTCCAGCAGAACAAGGGCCTGTATGCAGAGGGCGAGTCGGTTGGACGGCCCCCTTTCTGCAGCAGGCACAATCGGCCTGCTTCCACTATTTAGGAAACTGTCTACTGCGTAGGCATGTGTCGAAAAGTCCCCGAAGCCATTCGTCCAGGCATTCCGCAGTCAGGTGCAATACCCGACCCAAGATGCCGTCCGGCCCCAATGCAGTCTTTTTGCCCCATAGCGGAACCCTTACCCTTCAAAACCGGTAATAAACACATCAAGGTGGCGCTTCCCCATACGGACTCTTTCACAAGGAGCTCTATTGCTACTCTAAGTATATTTATTATTTTTAAATATAAACATTACTACATTCGATAATAAATCTACAAATTTATGAATACAGTCGTTCAAAAGATAAAAATAACCAAACTTCAACAATAGATATCTAAAAGACATGAACACATCAATATAAAATACAAAGTAGCAATTTAACTTTACTTGACAATCATAAATCGCAACAAGTTATAAAGAGAATATTGAATTCCGAGCCATAAAGCGGCGGTGAGAATATGAAAGAACTTTCTCGAATAATCCAGACGATTCTGTTATTGTTATGACGAGTGGCATCATTGTTTGCTGAATTTAAGAGTCTATACAACCTGAAATGGCTTTGGTTGACACCGCATAACGGTGAAAGTAGAAAATAAATCACTTCGGAAAAATATATAGTAAAATTGAGGTAATACGTGAGGCGCAATATACGAGTAAGTTTCCGGATAGAATAAGAAAAAAATACTATAAATAGTCATAAACGAATTTATTGTTTCTCTAAATATTCTCCGTTAGTGTTAATGCATTTTTTCATACGAATGAACCAATTTTGAAAAATGTATGCCACTCCTCTGTGACAATTTCTGAAACATATTTTTCATACTCTTCAACTGCCTCTTCAGGTGATGAAAATCGTTGACCGCGTAACTGGTTCTTAATTTTTGGAAATAAATAAAAGTCACAAGGTGCCAGGTCGGGACTGTACGTGGGATGGCTCATAAGGTCATCGTTGTTCACCTTCAAAAATTCATTTGTCTGTCTGGCCGTGTGAGAATTGCCATTATCGTGTTGCAAGATGATATGGCGTTTATGGTTATTTTTACGGAATTTGTCAATAACTTCCGGCAAACGAATGGTCGTGTACCAATCACTATTTACGGTTTTTAAAAACAGAAACAGCATCCGTTTAGAGGCACTTTGCACGCGCGCCACTTTGGTTGGTTTCGGCTCATCTCGAAAGCTGAAACGCTCGATTGCTGCTTTGTTTTGGGACTATGAATCCATATTTCGTCACCTGTTACTATGTCTCACACCAAATTTGTTGAATCTGGTAAGCATGGCATAGTACCAAGTGACGCGTTCCGTTTTTTGAGCCTCGGTTAAATTGTATGGGATCCACCGAGAGTACAGCTTTTTCACACTCAAATTTTTGTGTAGTATTGATTGTATTTGACTCATGCCTATGCCTAAAGATGCCCGAATCTCATGGTATGTCACAAGCCTGTCTGTTTTGATCGTACGGCGCACAGCATCGATGTTTTTGTTGTTCACAGCAGTGGACGGGCGACCATCATGAAATTCGTCACTGAGATTCACACGACCGCGTTTGAATTCTGCAAACCAGCTTTAAATAGTCGTCTTGCATGGTGCTTCATCGCTAAAAGTAGTTTGAAGCCGAGCGAAGCTCCGCTGAGCTGTTAAATTACACTTAAAGTCGTAGAAAATCATACTACGAAAATGTTTACGAGTTAAATCCATGGTGATGTAGACAACCAATTTCTAAAATGACGCCACAATAAAAACAAGTGACAGTCAGATGAAACAAACTGTATTCTATGGCCAAAGAGTTCCGTTTTCGAATGTTGTAATTACTTTTTAAATATTGTTTATGTAGGTGTACGCTGTAAAAACACGATTCCTAAAATATTTACAAATTTATTTATATACAAACTTACCTCGAAATTTTACAAGAAAACTGCTGTATTCATTAGGTACTTTACGTATACCAATGTTTTTATATCAACCCACCTAAATAGAACACGTATAGTACACTACATACATTTCAAGCGGCTTTAATTTCGTTTGTAAAGAAATAAATTCTGAAATAAAGCCAATGTCCCTGCCGCTGCCGCTCGACCCAAGCAAAATGAATCGTATTAGCACGGGGAAAATTTTAATTCGAGCTGAGGCAGTATTAACTCTTAAGTTATACTTATCAAATATCCATTTAATGTACAACATACCTATAACAAAATACTAATTTGTTATAGTTAACACGAAGATCGAACAAACTCAAAGAAGAATTCCTTCGATCCGGTTGTACTTTGGTAGTTTTATCAAGTTTTTAGGTTTTCGCAATTGTTACATATAGGAAATGAAAGTATTTTGTCGGATCTAAATAACGTTTATTTGTTTTTTCAAACAAACAGCTATTTGGTCTGTGGGTCACAGTGATTAGTTTGAAAAAAATATACGCGATTTAGAACCCAAAAATAGTTTAATTTCCTATTTCATACTTTTCTCATAGATAGGCGCAACATTAAAAAATGAAAGTCGTATTATACTATGGTATAATACGTGTATGCGTGCGTGCGTGCGTGCGTGCGTGTGTGTAAGCGCGTATTTTGGCTGATCTTAATAACTGCGCCTATGTTTTGTGTGCCACTCTTTTCAATAATCGTCGCTTCTTTTGTAATAAACTGTCAGGTTTATTACAAACATCTTTCTCCTTCGGTTCTAGTCCTAATAAGTTTGTTTTAACAAGTCTTTTATTCTTCTATTTGTCCAAATGATTCTGTCCATTCTTCTCCATCACTACATCTCCAAATATTTTCAGTTGCTCTCTATCTCTGTACCATTGTCAACGTATAAATAGCATATAATGCAGTGCTCCAAATGTTTACATTTATAAGTCGAAAATAAAACAAGCTTACCCAAAAAGGTCTATTCATTCTCGTCTTAAAAAGGCTCATTCAACATGATATTTATCCGGGAACAGATCCGCAGCTATTCCGCTCCTTAGCTGCCAGTAATAAAAAAGAGGAAACCTAGCACTTCGTACATATATTTTCAGTGATAAAAATATTGTTATACCAAACAACAAAGAACATCAGCATTGTACATACAAGTGAAAATGCGTAGGCTTCTGACAATACTAATGGACTGAACTTACATTTTCACAATTTTCATGGAAATGAATTACTTAATATTACAACACAAAACCGTATTCAACTTCCGCCTGTTCAGCGCATCAATGCCTATACTTCGCAAGGTAAACATAATTTGAAAAAAAAAAGTGGTTCATCACAATGTTCGCCTGCTATACTGAAATGATCTTTGCTAAATTAAGTAATTACGTATTGATATTTTTATACCAGCATCGCAGATTGGTAGGTCGAATGTGGGAGTCGTCATCATCATCAACCCATATATACATCCCACTACTAGGCACGACCTTCTTCGACATATAGGTTTCGTCAGGATGTTTTCACCGAAAGTCATGGTAAATTTAAAATTAAATTATGCACATACATTTCGATGAACACTCAGAGGTGCGAACTCGGATTCGAACCTATGGCCTCGGCTTGTAGTGGTAGGTTATTAAGCTACCACGGTTTCTTATAATAATAATGACGCACACACTCATAGACCCACGCTAGGGAAACCCTGTATCACGGGTGTTTTTGTTTTACACCCAAACTCACGAGAGAAATAAATGTAGGCCATACACATATTTCTCCCGGCCTTGGGATCGAACTCAGGACTTACCGGATGGTAACCGTTCGACCACGGAAGCAGTTAATGTGTGTAATCATATAATTTTTTGCTTTGCATGACACAGGGTTGTACTGGTAAAGTTATTTTAAGTAAATGTAACTTGTGTATCTGTAATTCTACCAAATTGAATAAATAAGTAATTAATCTTCACGTTGTGTTTTCCTTGACGGTTTGAATTTAAATACACAAATTCGCTTAACGCAAACAATCGCGTTTAATAACCCGAAGAGAACATGATTGGCTTCTTTACGCGTAATTAAATTGATAGTGTCCTAAACATTTTGTTGTATAATAATGATAATAAATTTTATTGATAGATAGATATATAGATTAGTGACCAGTCAGCAATATC